AAAAAAATTGTTTGTACTTTCTTTTGTCGTAGGATTTTTGTAAGGGCGTCTTTGAGCCCACTGTAAAGATAGGTGCCAGTAACAATTCGTTGTAATGAAGAAATTGTTTTGTTGATTTGGTGGTAACCTTTATAATTTTCATGACATTCTGGGCATTTGTCGGACTGTCAAATCGATTTTATTTCGAGTGAGGTCTTACTCCTTCTTTTTTATCTCTTCTCTTTTTTTCGAGCGAGGTCGAACACGTTTCTTAGTCGATGGCCTTAGCCATCGGGATGTTACTTTCGAACTGGCGTCGAAGTAGTATCCCATCGTAGTTCGAGCGAGGTCGAACACGTTTCTTAGTCGATGGCCTTAGCCATTGGTATGTTACTTTCGAACTGGCGTCGAAGTAGTATCCCGTCGTAGTTCGAGCGAGGTCGAACACATTTCTTAGTCGATGGCCTTAGCCATTGGGATGTTACTTTCGAACTAGCGTCGAAGTAGTATCCCGTCGTAGTTCGAGTGAGGTCGAACACGTTTCTTAGTCGATGGCCTTAGCCATTGGGATGTTACTTTCGAGCTGGTGTCGAAGTAGTATCCCGTCATAAGGGTGGCGCTCTATTCTGTCTGTTGGACTATAGTGGACGCTAGTTTCATTCATACGTTGGAGATTTGATTATGTTCTCGTGGAAAGAACGGGTTGACTTTGTCCACACAATGGAGATTTGATTATATTCTCGTAGAAAATACGTGTTGACTTTGTACATACAATGGAGATTTGATTTATTCTCGTAGAAAATACGTGTTGACTTTGTACATACAATGGAGATTTGGCTATCTATGCCCAGTCCCTTCATTACTCGGCCTGGAGATTATATTGACGGGCGGGGTAATGAACAACACTTCGGACCTCGAGGCGTCTCCTTTGCCGCCTCATTAAAAACCTCACCGAGAAAACCCGATTGGGACAAAACCCGGATGAGGGAAAAAGAGTACGACTTAGGGGGCACTTTTTTTCAGAAGTGGAAGTATTTGAGATGGGCGATATTCCAATTGTTTTGGAGTAGTTTTCCTTCCATTGTCTCTAACTGAAACGCTCCTTTGTTCGCTGACGCTGTGATTTTGTATGGCCCGTCCCAATTTATTCCTAGCTTTCCCTCATTAGGGTCTTTTGCTGCCTGCATTTTAGCTTTGAGAACGTAATCTCCGACCTTGAGTGGTCGTATTTTGGCTTTCTTGTTATAGTACCTCTCTGCTTGTTGTTTTTGGGCTACCATTCTTATGTGAGCCATGTCCCTTCTCTCCTCGACTTCATCTAGGTCTTGTAATCTACTTTCGTCGTTACTTGGTCCGCTCTTGTTGGAGTATCTCAGGCTAGGTTCTCCGACTTCGAAGGGTATAACCGTATCAGTCCAGTAGACTAAGGAGTATGGCGTTTCGCCTGTGCTAGTTTTTGGCGTGGTGCGGCATGCCCATAGTACATCTGGCAGTAGTTCAGGCCATAACCCTTTGGCGTCCTCGAGCTTCTTTTTTAATATATTCAATATCGTTTTATTGGAAGACTCGGCTTGACCATTGGCGGCGGGGTGGTATGGTGTGGAGAGTATTCGCTTGATGTGCCATTTTTTAAAGAACTCGGTTGTTTTCTTTCCGACGAACTGGGGTCCGTTGTCGCAGTTGATTTCTTTGGGAATGCCAAAGCGGCATATTATATTTTTCCATATGAATGCAATAACTTCTTGCTCACGTATCTGCGTGTATGCACCTGCTTCCGCCCATTTAGAAAAATAGTCAGTTAAAACCAAAATGAAGCATACCTTACCTCGTCCTGCTGAAAGGGGTCCGACAATATCCATCCCCCACTTTATGAATGGCCATGGCGAAGTGACGGAGTGCAGCAGTTCTCCTGCTTGGTGTATCATAGGGGCGTATTTTTGACATTGTTCACATTTCCTGACGTAGTCTGCGGCTTCTTTTTTCATGGTGGGCTAGTAGTATCCCGCGCGAATGAGGCATCTGACAAGGGCACGGTTTCCTGTATGAGCACCACAGTGCCCCTCGTGTACTTCTTCTAATACCTGCTTTGTTTGGTTTGGTCCGAGGCATTTGGCCTGGGGGCCACCGAACGTCCTTTTGTAAAGGTCGTGATTCACGAGGCTGTACCTGGCTGCTTGTATTCGGAGCTTTTTGGCTTCTTTCTTATCTTGCGGGAGCGTTCCTTCCAGCAAATAAGTTACGATACGATTGTGCCAGTCCCAAGTCAGATTTATAGAATGTACCTCAACCTAGTCTATCGAGGAATGGAGGAGGGTGACCACGTTTTCTTTGTTGATATTTCGGGTGGCTGCAGCCAACTTGGCGAGGTTGTCTGCTTCGGCATTCTGCGCCCTGGGTATCTGGTCGAGGCGACATTCATCAAATTCTGATTTCTGGTAGTAGTTTGCGAATTTCTGACTGGTACTTTTGTAGTCTCGCTTCTTTAATTTGGAAAGTCCTAGTGACTTGATTCACCACGAGTTGGGAGTCGCAATGTAAGACGAGTCGTCGAGCGCCATATTTTAGGGCTAATTTCAATCCTGCAATCACAGCTTCATACTCGGCCTCGTTGTTAGTCATTTCGGAGCATCGTATGGATTGGTGAATCACTTCGCCTGTAGGGACTTCGAGGACAAGTCCCAGTCCCGAGCCCGACGCGTTAGATACACCATCGGATAGAGGACCCATAGGTCGGAGGGAGATGACGCTCAGAGCGCCTCCTGCTCTGCTTCATGCAATATTTTCGCACTAAAATCGGCGACGAAGTCGGCGAGCACTTGTGACTTTATAGCAGTTCGCGATTGATACATTATATCGTGCTCGCTTAATTCTATGGCCCATTTGGCCAACCTGCCCAATAGTTCGGGTTTGTGTAGGATGCCCCTGAGGGGGAAGGTTGTCACCACCTTTATGGGGTGACATTGAAAATATGGTTTAAGCTTCCGTGAAGCTAAGACTAATGCCAGAGCTAATTTCTCAAGGTGGGGTTACCTTGTTTCGGCATCAATTAGGGTTTTGCTGACATAATAGATTGGAGACTGCGTACCTTTGCTTTCGCGGACCACAACTGCACTTACCGCGACTTCGGAGACTGCTAGATACACCAAGAGGCATTCGCCTGGATCCGCCTTGACCAGTAGTGGCGGTGAGAATAGGTATGCTTTTAATTTCTTTAGGGCGTCGACGCATTCCGAGTTCCATTGTAAGCCGTGATCCTTCCTCAGTACATTGAAAAATTTATGGCACCTATCTGACGACCGTGAGATGAACCTCGATAGGGCGGCTATTCATCCCGTCAACTTCTGTACCTGCTTTTTGCTGGTCAACGTCTCTGGTATTCCTTCGATGGCCTTGATCTGGTCTGGATTGACCTCGATACCCCTTTGTGATACTAGAAAACCGAGGAACTTACCCGAGGCTACGCCAAAGGTGCATTTTTCTGGGTTCAAATTTATTCCGTATTGCCTCAATATTACGAAGGCTTCCTTCAGATGACCAATGTGATCCTCCTTCTTTTTTGACTTCACTAACATGTCGTCGATGTAGACCTCCATAGTTTTTCCAAGTTGTTCTTTGAACATTTTGGTGACCAATCTTTGGTACGTCGCCCCTGCGTTCTTGAGTCCGAACGGCATAACTCTGTAGCAGTATGTCCCCTGGTGGGTGATGAAGGTGGTCTTTTCTTGATCTTCTTATGCCATTAGGATTTGGTTGCAGCCAGAATAGGCATCTAGGAAGCTTAATAGTTCATGCCCCGCTGTTACGTCGATGAGCTGGTCGATGTGTGGTAGTGGGAAGGAATCTTTTGGGCATGCTTTGTTTAGGTCGGTGAAGTCGACACACATCCGCCATTCCCCGTTTTTCTTTTTTACCATGACCACATTGGCGACCCACTCAGGATACTTTGATTCTCGGACGGAACCATTAGCGAGTAGCTTATCGACTTCTTCGCTAACTGCATCGTTGATTGCGGCGTTGAACTTTCTCCTCATTTGCCGCACAGGCGGGTAAAGAGGGTCGACATTCAGCCGATGTGTGGCGATGTCCCTTGGGATTCTCGGCATATCTGAGTGGTAGAAGGCAAACAGATCAGCGTTGTTAGTTAAGAATTCATGGAACTTACCTGGTTCTGAGAGGTTGTGCCCGATATAAGCTTTCTTCGTGCTGTCAGCATTGTCCAATTGAACGGGGTCGAGGTCTTCCACATTTGCCTTGCAGGCCTCTACGACATCTGGATCTTTGATGGCCTCCATCTGTATGTCGGGTTTGGTTCCCGAAATGGCTGATTGCTATGTTTTCGCACTTGCTCCCTTTAGTTGTTGGGTGTGCGCGCAATCTTGGGCGATGCGGTAGCATTCTTGGGCGGTACGTTGCTTGCCCCGGATGCTGAATATTCCCCATGGGGTAGGAAATTTGATCACCTGGTAGAAACTTGAAGGGACGACTCACATGACGTGTATCCATGGACGTCCTATGATAGCGTTGTAGGCTTTTTGCTGGTTCATGACGTGAAAAGTCGTTTCCAGAGTGACTCATCCAGCCAGAACGGGCAGCATTATTTCTCCTGAGGTTCGTTCAACTGCATTATTAAAACCTGTTAGTGTTATGCAGCGCGGTACTATCTTATCCTCGAGTCTTATATGTGCGAGGACTCATGGGTTGATAATACACGCACCGCTTCCGTCATCCACCATTATTCTTTTTACATCGGTATCCACAATACATAAAGTTATAACCAAAGCATCATAGTGAGGGAAAGACAAACCGTGGGTATCTGACTTATCAAAGATGATACTATCTTCGAGGTCATCATACCGTTCGTGAGCGATTGTTCGCTTGAATTTATGGGTAGTGGTGAACTTCACATGGTTGATTACTGTATCATCACTGCCGCCAATGATCATTTGTATGACACGAGCCGGTGAAGGTGGTTTTGGGGGTCCTTGGGGTTAATCGCGCCCACGAGCGAAGTTAGCTCGTCCTCAATCGCTCAACAGTTCTTTCAGGTGTCCTTGGTTCAGCATTCTTAACACTTCCTGTCGCAAGCCTATGCAATCTTCGGTCTTATGCCCCCTTTCCTGATGGAACTCGCACAGAACGTTTGATCTCCGTGTGCTTGGATCCGACTTTATTTTTTGCGGCCACTGCACCTTCGTGCCGAGCTTTTCTAGTGCATACACTATTTCTGAAGGAGAAATGCAAAAGTTATGAGCAGAAAATAATGGGGGCATACCTCTCTCATTTCTCTATGGCATGATACGTCGGGGTGTGACGTCTGCATGTCGTGGTGGAGGTGGGATGGATGTCCGGATGTAGGGCTGATGCCTCTCTCGATTGAAACGGGATAGTTGGTCCCTTCGACCGTCGTTACGGCGGTCTCTCCTTATTTCGATTTGTACTGAGGTTAGCAGTTGGATCAGACCATTTAAGTCATCCTCATCTGCCCTTACTTCGGCACAATATGCGTTATGGATTTCTTCGCATGTAGTGGGAGGGTATTTCATGAGCCTACTTAGCAGCTTTTTTGTTGCTTTCGACCCGTTTCTATTTAACCCATTTTGGAAGGCTGCTACAGCCATCCCCTCCGATACATTGGGTAGGCTCATTCTTACCATGTTGAACCGGGCTAGGAAATCCCGAAGTCCCTCGCCTGTCGTTTGTCTAACGGCGAAGATGTCGTTTACCCTGGCTTCTGCCTTTTTCGCTCTCGCATGAGCGGTGACAAATTTATGTTCCATTTCTTCGAACGTTGATATCGACCGTGCCGGCAGTTGGGAATACCATGTCAGTGCTCCCCCTGTTAGGGTTTCACCGAACTTTTTCAGCAGCACCGATGACACCTGCTCTTTCGACAGATCGTTGCCTTTCACTGTCGTGACGTAGTGGATTATGTGATCTTCTGGGTCTGTGGTGCCATCGTATATTTTTAAGTATGGCGGCATTTTGAAGGTTTTTGGAATAGCATGGGGGGCTGCCACTTCACTGTAGGGTTGCTCGATGAATCGGCCAACATCTCGTTTCGGTAGCATCTTTGGAGCGCACAGTATTTTATCGACCCTTTCTTGGTGCTCCTTCATCTGATCACGGAGTGTTTTGTTCTCATTCTCCATTTCTTCCATTTTCTTTAGGATAGCTGCAAGCGCGTCGTTACATGCATCGTTGTCAGTGTGAGTATTACCTGCGCGTGGAGTTTCTGGTTCATCGGTGATAGTTGCGGTGTCAGCACGCATTGTACCTCCGATATCCCTTTAAACAGGTTCATCAAGTATACCGCTCAAGGTGTTTGTTAACCACTCTTCTAATAGTCTTTTCACAGTTGGTGGAGCTTCTCCTGCTGCGGATGTTGAAGTTTCCCTCTCGCGCGAGACAGTCACGCCTTCGTGCGGGGGAGGGGGGGTGAGGTATCTCCCTCGGGTGTGGCGCCTGGCGTTGTGTTTTCATTGTCTTCCCGGCCGGCCTCGTTGATAGAATCCATAAGGTTGCTAGTGACGCCTACTATCGCTTTTAATCTTGCTTCCCCCTTTCCTTCCATTGTTGATCTTTGCGAGGCCAGGAAGAGGTGATTATTTCTTTCAAGGATCTAGATGAAACTAAAGTCTCAGCTAAAGAAATCCCCACAGATGGCGCCAAATTATTTGATTCAAAAGATATTGGAACCTTATTGATCAAATCAATCAAAGAAAATGAAAGGGTAAATCTCAGCTAAGCATAATAAACTCTAGAACAGAAGATACAAGTAATGAACACAATGGAAAGTATTTGTTGATCTTATGAAAAAGGCGGTAATTGTACAGTGAGAATGATAATCTTCAATATAGGAGAGATTTTAGGAGTTTTGCTTTCAACTGAAAAGGTCCAAAAAACTGAAGAAGATCCTTCTACTAAGTATTTTCTCCACTATATATAAGGGTTAACCCCTTTCTGCACCCTAGAAAATATACCCTAGGGAATATTCGTGAGAATATTCCAAATACCCCATATTGGGCCTACACTACTACAACAGCTATTCATCCTCTATCCGCTATCTGTCATCCCTCGTAGGGCGTCCCGCTTATGAAGATCTCATCTTCCGTTGCCTTTGTCAAATGGCCGTGGTCGTCCAAATTTGGACCCATACACTACCGGTCCATCAAACAGCCAACCCAAAATGTCACTCCGGCCACTGTACCACCCAGCAAACAACTCACCGTCCATCGGCGAAAAGGCAATCAACCATCTTTCGAGAGACCAATGTGACTTTGTAAAAAAGTAGCTAAATTGCTCATGTAGAGAAGAAGTTGGGCGCGAGGGATGTTGTGGTCATTAGCGACGTCGGCGAGGGCTATGGTGAAAGTAGCGGTGGTTATGAGAAGAATAAAGAAGATGTAGTCAGTAATGGAGAGAGGAGTGGCGGGGAAGGAAGATGGATGAAAGGTCTTGGGTTGTCGTAAATTTTGGTTTTTGAGCAAAACCCCATGTTGGGGCTGATGGAGGAAGATGCTAGGACTGCTGGGCGGCGGTTTTGACCATTTGAGCAAAACTCGATTTTGGTTAATGCTCAATGAAGGAAAGGGATCTGAAGGAGATGAAAAAAACAAACAAAGAAAAAGGGTGTGAAAAGAAAATGGTGAAGGAGAAAGAGAGGAAATGGGAGAGGAGGAGGAGGACAAGCGGTGGTTCTAGGAATTCTTGTTTTCTTTCTTCTTTTAGTTATCATTTTTCTTTTTGGGTTAAATATTAGGTGGCAAAATTTTTAATTAAAATTATACGTGGCATTTTCTCATTTGTTCATTTGATATAAATTCGAGAGTGTATTTCACGCGAGGTGGGCTGACAAGGTCGGGTGTTTAGTTGACTTACTTTATGAAGGCTTGAGGTGTCTAATTGAAAATTGGCTCAGTTGAGATGTTTGTCTGATCGTTGAGGATAACTTGAAAGGGCCGTTTATGTATTTCGCCAATATATTATTATGGCATCTAGCTTACGCGTTATTGTTCTCATTTCGAGTATTACTTATTATAGATGTTTATTTCAATAGATAGTTTTTCTATTTAAAGCATTTCCGATGTCATGACCAAAAAATATATTATAAAGTTTTTGTTTGGTCAATTTTCATTCAGCAACTACTCGGCAACTTACTTCTTAGAGCTTGACAACAAGTAGAGACGAGCACATGAGAAGTGGAAGTGGGAGATAAATCTAGTTTTATTTATTTATTTATTTTTGCTTCATAAGATATTTATATATACGTGTATAATAACAAACAAATCTAGATCTCACAAGATTTGGATTTAGCACAGCACTGAAAAAGTTTTTATAATGATAACTTTGGGGGATTCAACTTTAAACAATCTTTACGTACTATATTTGCCAACTAGATTGACAAAGTAGATTATTTTTCCGATGTAATCTGTATACATTTCTTAAATTTAATAATGTCCAAACTTAATAAAATAATCCCTCCGTTCACTTTTACTTGGCACGTTCTAATTTTCACGCTTCTTAAGAAATAGTAAATGAAGTGTATAATTTACTATGATACCCATATTAATTTATGCATATTTTATTGGATTTGAGAAAATAATTTGAAATAAGTAATAAATACTGTAGGTATAATAGGAAAAAATTTTTGTATTATCTTGATATGCGTAAAATAAATGAAAATCTAATTTTAGTATACATGTCAAGTAAAAGTGAACCGAGGGAGTACTTTTAAGCTCTTGGGATACTACAAGATCCAAGATTTTTTTTTATTTTTTATTTTACATGACATTGCAGCTTTAATGCAACATTAGGATCTTTTGGGACCTGGCAACAAGATGGGTCGGGTCCATTTTTTAGTGGCAGGCACGTTGTGTGGACTGTGGATTCCGTTTCAAATGAAGCTTTGATAGGAACATTTGCACAAATGACCTTTTCTAGAGGTTACTATCTATCAATTATTAAAATAACGGAAAAGGGCCTAAAATGCCCTTTTACTATATGAAATAGGACATGCTAGCCCTCCGTTAAAAGTTGGTCTCTATTATGCCTTTGCCGTCAACAAATGGGCTCATATATGCCCTTCATCACTAACGGAAGACTCATAAAGCCACATTGAATATATGTGAGGGCAAGTTAGACCTATTTCGAATTGTACAGGGGCATATATGAGTCAGTTATAATAGTCATTTCTCAAACACTTCACAACTCCATATCAGTTTACTTAGATTCCTATTTGACAACACCAAACTAATTATCACAACAAATAAACTTAGTCATAGACACAAACATTCAAATGAACGACAATGATTTTATTAAATCCTTGTATAAAAACATAAAGCTTCAGTACATAATAAAAGACAACAATTAAGCTACAATTACACTAACATTACACATCATTTCGCACTGATCCAAAGAACATAATAAGACATCCCAATATCACACACATGAAAATTCACATCTTCTTCCGAAATTTAGCATTAAGCACAACTGAGTACTCTAGATCGGTCACTTTCTTCATTAGAACATTTCTTTCCAAGTCCAAGGCTTCTATTCCTCCATGATCGACGAGCATCATAACATTCTCAAGATCAATTTTGCTTTAGGAGAGCATTTCTTTCACAGATTAGAGCTTCCCTTTCCTTCTTTAAACTGCATATGAGATTCGAAACTCTAGGAGGAAGCTCTTCATCTTGCCATTCCCATTAGGAATAGTTTTCATCCTAAAAACCAAAAATAATAAATCAAATTCACAAGCAAATCGGAATACTTAAAAGAACCCATCAGAATATTTACTTACCTCATGCTTCGGGCACTTTAAAAACCTTCTCCTAACATTTAAAGGTGTCCATGCCATGAAATAATTGGCAGTAAGTCCGTAATGACACCTCCTATTCGACCCATTTGAGCTACTAGAACATTCCGACATTGTATTTTGTTGTTTTTTGTTATGATTCGACCCCTTTGAGCTACTAGGATTTAATGAAGTCATTGCTGTTCATTTGATTGTTTGTGTCTATGACTTAGTTTATTTTCTGTGATAATTAGTTTGGTGTTTTCAAATAGGTGTCTAAGTAAACTGATATGGAGTTGTGACGTGTTTGAGAAATGACTATTATAACTGACTCATATATGCCCCTGTACAATTCAAACTAGGTCTAACTTGCCCTCACATATATTCCACGTGGCTTTATGAGTCTTCCGTTAGTGATGAAGGGCATATATGAGCCCATTTATTGACGGCAAGGGCAGAATAGAGACCAACTTTTAACGGAGGGCTAGCCTGTCCTATTTCATATAGTAAAGGGGCATTTTAGGCCCTTTTCCGTTAAAAAAATAGAAAAGAAGCCGGTCATGAAAATTTGCCAAGTTTGGTGTGGAAAAATTGACATGTCTCATTTTAAGGACAAAATTAGTCGATCTAGGTAATAATTAGTTATTTTATTTAAAATTTGAATTTAAAAATAGTTACTAATACTTCAGGTGATATTAAACACTAAGGACAAACGCAATTAACAAAATTCTTTTTTCTGCTTTGTTGTACAAACCCTAGCCTCCACAACATCCCCAAATTTTCTCTCTCTAAAACCTTACAATGGAATATGTAGGGCAAATATTTTATCTTCCCAAATCAATATCAATATCTATTATTAATATTAGTTTCAGTGTATAAATAGTAGTAAATAACCCTAATCCCATATGTATTAGGAGTAGGACATGTATTGTATATATATATAGGGCTCATTGTATCATTGTCATAATTAATCAATAATATTTTCTCCCGTGCATTCTCACATGGTATCAGAGCATTGGTGAGATAATTATCGTTGTGCGTCATTCCAACGACATCCGGGAATAAATCAGTCGTCACCGTGCAATTTTCCGGTGACCTAAGTGACTGTTTACATCAAAGTCATTATTTATCAGTGTTGTGAACAAACCAACACCACCACAAGGTCCTCCGTAGCCCCGCGACCAAATCCCAGCAAAACCCGCCGGAAAAATCACTGCCACGCGCCATCACGCGCCGGGCAGAGAAAAGAATTTTTCGGCGAGATCTGTGCACGCGCCGGGCGCGTGAGACACCTTCCAGCCATTTTCCAACGAACTTCCTTCAGGAAAGGTCACTCGCACCTCAATTCCGAGTCGACCAGTACTATCCCTGACAAATTCCGACAACTTTGGAATTTTCCGGCGAGCTACAGTGTTTCCGGCCAGATTTTGGAGAAAGTTTCTTTTGAACAGTATAATCGTCTTGCTTTTCCGAGCC